CACACCGCCTACGCTTGCACACTGTCCGGCGTGCTCCGCTACGCCAGCCCGGTGTCCTCAGGAGCTGCAGTCTGCCCAACAAGGCCCCGAGTCCGAGCCCGGACCTACACGCTTGTTTACACAAACAAAACGGTTAGAGTTGGCCTCGGAGCCAACTGAAAAGGCACTTAAAAAGTACTCGATGTCGGGAGCACGAGAAGCCGCTGCGCTCCTGCACGCCGCCATCTTGATAACAGATGCCCAAACTTTGAGGAACAGTTTGAGCATGCCTGACCTAGTTCGTTTCTGCACTGATGTCAATATCTAAGTTAGAGACAAACATACCGGTGGTGGAGGAAGCAAATGTTCCTGTCCAGAGAAAGGTCCGAACAGTGGCTGATGATGGTGTTGGCCTGTGTGGCCATTAAAAGCACTGCGGTGTGTGGACGGACATCTCTTCTCCCTATTCTGCCATTTTTGTTTTGACGTCGTCTTCTTCTTGCGGTGTGTGTTTAATGTGCATACATGAGCTATTGTGCACAACACCGCCCCGGCAATTTCCAGTGGTACCGAAGCATTTCATACGTTGGCGTACGCTTCGCATTCTGTCCAAAAACAAATCAAATTAAACACGTAATGAACGCATCGGACATCATAAACTAGACCAAAGTCTTCATGTTTTTGTGGAAGGATTGATGTTAATATACAATACAGAAAAAAATGAAACTGCAAATAACATAAGATAGCAAAAAACCCCATAAAAGTCTGCTAAGCAAAAACTCAAAAGTCTGTATGAGAATAAGCACTCGACATGGAGATGTACGTGTTCATTAGATTCTACCACTTCTTCCCGGTTGTTTTGAAATCCATCAATACTTTAACCCTTGTAAGGTCCTTCGGCTCTAGAGCCAATATATCTTTGTGTCTGTGTGTGTGTGTGTGCGCGCGCGCCCGTGTGTGTGCATGTTCCTGTACTGCATGACTTGTGCCAACTTTTCCTCATATTCATTAATACTCATATTCTGGGACAAAATGAAAATTATTGCAAGGACAAACGGTGTGTACAGAAATGCGAAGGACCGCACAAGGGTTAACCCTCCGTCTGTTGTCTGTTGTATTGTGCTAGACATCGTTACTGTGACGTTTAATTTACATTAAAAAAGGCAGCTGGAGACAGTGATGACTCAAGGTCAATCTTTTGCTGTACATATGTGAATGTTGAAAATGTACTATTACAACAGAAAAGCTTTGGTTTGCACTGTATTTACTAACTTTATTCCAAAAGGCAAACACGAGTGAGTGTGTGTGCGTGTGTGTAAAGACAGACCCTGCATTATTCTTCTACACACTGTGATTAACATGTCTGTAAATACAGTGTATAATTATCTTCAATAACTTCACCATAGTACAAACCACATGGGTGAATTAAAAACTAAACTTTTTTGCCAGATAATCTGTGGATTTTTTTTTTTATTAACATCAGCCCTTGACAACATTTTTACATTTACATTCAAATCAAATGTCATGTTTGGTATTTGTGTTACACTGGCAAAAATAAGGCAGGTGAAGACATCATAAGGAGAACCGGTTTGCCTCGAAATACCATTGAGTCATTGGAATTGCTTTAAATACACTAACAAACATGTAAGAAATCACATGCATGTCATATTAACAGCCTCTGTTCATATAAATGTCTTTAGCACATTAGGACAAATCAGTGAAATCAGTGAAATTGCAAAAACATCTGCAAATTTAGGTAATAGAAAAACAACCTCCATTGCAAGTTGCATTGTTTTGCGTTTTAATACTGTTAAATTCACATTTCAGTATCTGCAGAAACATGACTTTTAATTCATTATACTATTGCATCAGAAATGACTTTCTCATCTATGGCCTTCTTAAAATAAATGTCCAGTGGCTACACAAGAAGTAGTTGGTGAATAACCCTGATAATACCAGACCATTCAGAGCCTCTTAGGATACACTTAACACCAATATACAATTGTACCCTATGTACGAACATTAAATGTAAAAGATGTAGGTGCAATGGGTCGAGTGCTGCTTAGGAGCACTCGGTGTTATCAACCAGTCTCAAATTAATAACACAACCAGTCTCATTAAAGTTATCTTTAATTATTATTTTAACCTACTAATATAGCAATAATGTATTACTTGAAGTATTACAAATATACTAAAATCAATAGTATCCAATAACAATTAAATATCTGAAGGATTTTGAGAGTTCTTGGCAAATTGGGTGGCTTCAATGAATAAAGTAACAACACAGACAAACACAGTTTACAAAAATAATCAAATTTATTTATACAACACTGTCAAGTTAATGACGGTGATTGAACTCATAAACAATGATCATTATAACAAAACAAGGCGTGTGTAGGTGTGTGTGTCTGTGTGTGTGTACTTATGTGCGTGTGTACACGAGCGGTCGTGTACGAGAGAGAAAGAGAGAGAGAGATGTTGCCTCTCAGCTACCAAGCAAGCGACTGAGCCCTTGAGGCGTGTTCACATACGCGACTGCGCAGTGGAAGAAGAACTGCGAGGTAGAAGGAACGGCAACAGGAAACACGTGAGGCGTGTATGCGCTCACGGAGGTGTGAATGGGTGTTGTGTACGCGCACCAAGATGCGCTCAGGTACAATGAAACAGTGCTTGTGATGTTATCAAAGTATATGGGGGAAGGGAGGCGTACCGCGTGGTCTACTCCAGACAAAGGACTTTGTCGGAGTTTTCCTGATCCCAATACTGATAACGTTACAAGTTAACACTGAAATACTGACGGTGTACAAGAGTATAAGACCGAGTCAGGAGGTTAGAAAAGAAGTGCATGCAACAGCCTAGCTATAAAAGCAGCACAGATTTCAGACAACAAAATTCAATATGCGTACTTAAACTGTCCCTAAGTTTAAATAGCACTTAACAATACTACAGATTAACTAACGTGCCCAAATGCCAGCCTTACTGTAGTGAACGTCTGCTCGTATTTAGAGGGTAGTGGAAAGTCCGTGCTTCTTGGGTCTTTGCCAGAGCTGGGGACGTCCGTCTGGTTCCACTGTGTGCAGAGAGTCCTCTTGGTTCCGAAAGTCCGTTTCAGGAGGAAAAGTCTCTGACTGTCGATGTGCCGGTTCACACGAATACCGTTAGAAGGAATCCTGTCGCTTCTAACTTTTCAATAACTGCTTTGGTCGCAGCGCTACGTTACTTGTGTAACTTAATTACCGGTTAACTCAGTTAAGAAAAAGACGCTACTAGTGCATTTATCACCGTGGGCAATGGTGTCTACAAAAGCGCGTTGGTTCTTAGTCTTCTGAGACGAGCAGGTTTTCTCTTTTCATCGAGGTCCTACGGAGCGAAAGTCCTGAACAGAGAGAACGATATTGGGCTGACCCCCCAATTTAAAGGTTGCGGAGGTTACTGATCGTGACGTATGTGGATTTACCGGAAGCAGTGGAATTATGGGAGTTCGAGTCCTTGAAAGGACTGTTGTAGTACCTACAAAGATAATCATTCAAAGCACTAATGTGTGAAAAAGAAAATAAGGCACCACAGTTCCACTTAGTGAACTAATGCAAACTATTACCTTTATTTAAATACTATATATAGCTTAGTAAACCCCTGAGATTAACTGGTGCTGGTGTTGTCCATAGGAGTGATAAGCTGTAAGAGCTCAGCTTTCCATTTGAACTAATATGAACTTGGTATGATTGTTGGTGCCAAAGAAATTAAACATTGCAGAGTGTATTCTGGTGTGATTTAGTCTCAAAAGTACCTTTTCAGGAAGATAGGTGCAGGGTAAAGTGTGTGCGCGCACGTGCGTGTGTGTGTGTGTATGCAGCTGATTACCTGCGGATGTGTTTCAAAGTGTGTTTTGCAAACTTCTCTCTTTTTAAGTACTTGATGTTCTCTCTGATTGCTGACTGACAGCCTTCCTCCTTGGACAAATGTTTTTCAAGCCATTCAACAACAGCTTGGTTATTATCCCAGAGGTAGGCCTGGGAAAGAGAACGGACACAAT